TTTGCGCAAAAGCATCCATGCCAGTGTAGACACTCTCTTGTGCAAATCATTTTAATGGAAAAACTTTTCCATTAAAAGTATTTGCGCAAAATCATGCCAGTCTAGACGCAGCTTAGGGATGCAGGTGAACATCCATGGAGAACTCAGCAGTCTGGGCCCTATTTGTATAAAATACTTGTGGTTCTTGTTACAGGGTGTCTCTGGTGTCAGGGAGTGAGGCTGGTTTGCCTTTTAGTGCTATTTCTTGGGGTCCCGGCTGTGAAATATCAAACTGTTAATATTCAGATTTCAATGCCAACATTTCCCATCCATTTTTTGTTTGTGTAATAGCTGGATTTTCCCTTGGCATGTGGGGTACCTGTCTCAGCAACACAATTCTTTCGGCACTAACATGTCCTTGCAAACACAGCTCTGAGTGCTCCTTTGCCTATTTAATTCATAATCAAACCAGTTGAACTGCCCTTACCTCTGGCTGCCTCGTATTCCGCTGGAAAGTAACAGACATGCTGAGTTACTGTCGAGTCTCAGAATGTGAAGCACAAACGTCAAGCTAAGAGCAGCGTCTCCCTCGCTGGGAATACCAACGGTGTGAACGATTTGTCCATAAGACACTTGAGCAGAGCACAGCACTAGGCCCTGTACACACACACACACAGGGCCAGGCCCCACTTGACAGACTTGGGGGCTCCCACAGGACAGATGTTCCCTCTCAGACAGGAAGCTGGGCTCTGACACCCAGTGAGGAGACGTGTCCAAGCAGGGATGTCCATGCTGCTAGATTTAGCCCTGCAGTGAGAGCTCCAGCCAGCTGACCCAGACTCCGAGGGTTGTTGCCACGGGTGGTTGTTTGCACTGCAGATGTACTCGTACTCTGGCAATACGACTGACCAGGCTGGGCCGGTGTATTCAGGGCTCTGGGCTCAGGGTGTTGTTTCTGTAATTCCTGTGGGGTTTATTAAATGGTTCCTTCCCCTTCAGAGCCTGGTAAAAGCCCCTGAGCTCCCCATCACTCGTCACACAGGCTGTAACTCCGCCTGCTAAAGCTGAGCTCCAGGTGGAAACCAGCAACTACACTGGCATTAAATGTGACTTTTTACTGAGGCAAATTGGCTCATGTGTGCAGACCCAACGGACATGACGTGGAACATTGAACCCATCCCCCGGTGCCAGGCACTGACCTGTCTGCCTCTCCATCGCTGCCTGCAGGGCCTCTAGAGGGAGAAACGAGCGAGAGGTGAGATTTCACCCTGGCGTGTTTGTGGGCAGAACGTTACTGTCAGTTACTGTTACTGACCTTTCTCTCTGTCCCGGTCAGACAGCAGGGTCTCTAGAGAGAGAAAAGAGGGGAGTGATTCATCCGTTCATGGATTCCAAGGCCAGAGGGGAGCCCTGTGATCACCCCGCCTGCCCCCTGTGAAACAGGCCGTGGGTTGCCCCACAGTAACTCCCACAGATGATCATTTAGACCAGCGGTTCCCAAGCTTTTGCAGATGGGGACCCATTTTGACAATTCAGGAAGATCTGGTGACACAGGGCAATTCAAAAACAGGGGACGAGCCACCTGGGGAGATGTTTGGTGACCCTTTTGAAATGTAATGGCAACCCATATTTGGGTCACGACCCATAGGTTGGGAAACCCTGATTTAGAAGAACAGCCAGGCTTGATTTATGAACTGCCCAATGGCCAGGGCCAGATGATACACCAGGGGCCAGGGCATGAGCAGCCAGGCCAGGGCTGGCTCAGTTTCCCCTTGCTCTGCTGCAGCCATTGGACCCACGATTGCTGGGCTTTGGGGGAAGTTTGTGGTTTATTATGCCCCAGGCAGGTTGCAGGTGGCTGAGGAGATGGCTTGTGCTAGTCACTTCCTGGGTTCCTCACTGTTCCCCAGGACTAGGTCAAAGGCCAAGGGACCCCGGGGCATTAGTGACCCAAGAAAGATGAACAGCACATGCCACCTCTTCAGCTGTCTGGAACCTGCCTGGGGGGGAGGGGG